GAGGGGAGAGAGAGAGGGACTGGTGGTTACCCACCTGGCAACTTTACGAGCTGACGCCGCGCTCCTCCCGCTGCTTCTTCGGCTCCTTCACGATGACTGCTGTGCCCTGGCTATGGCTGGACGACGGCGCCCTGGACTGCTGCTGCTGCACAGGAGACGTGGAGGCAGGCATGCGACAGGCAACGAACGGCGGGCGCGAAGGGCACAAAGCTGGACTACCAGGTTCATCCAGGCAGCGAGGGGCAGCACTCCGAATTCAAAACCTCAAAAACAAACTCACTTTAGCTGCCCCCCTTTTTTTTTTCTTCAGTTGCCCCGCGCGGCCACGAAATGTCGTTGTTGTTTTTTTTCGTTTTGTGGCGCGACATCCCAGCCGGGCCTGGAACCCCCCCCTATTTTTGGGGTGCGCCACACCTCGTGCGTGGTGCGCAGTGCGGCGCGTGTGCGGGGTGCAGCGCATGTCGATGCGCCGCAAGTGTGGTTTACACTCAACTGGATTTTCTCTCCCGCTTTATTCTGGTCTTGGGCTCTTGGCATGTCAGTAAATGTCAACGCTTGACGAATTGGCAGCTCAGAAAAAGAAGAGAAAATAAGGGGAAAAGCAGCAGAGCTCTGTTTGCTGAGGACTGTTTGTGGATATGACGCCAGTAGTGCACACCGCACATGGCAGGAGACTTATGCATGTTGTGATTCAGTCTTCCGGTGTTATCTGCTCTCTTCTGTTGCTTTGTAGCAATTCTCTTGGAGCAGTTGTAAGCCTCTCTAAGTGTATGCAGAAGGTCAGCTGTAGGCTGTGATGAGCCAACACTGTTTTCTTCTCCCCCCCCCCCTTCAGAACAGCCCCGGTGTATGGTACCGTCTTCACCCGAATAGAATGCCTAGTCATTATGTATTTGGCACAACTTTCAGCCTAGATACGGCGATAATTATGGGGCGTTCTATTCGGGTGAAGACGGTAGTGGTGCTTGTAGGAGCAGACACCACTAGTGTTGCGGGGGAGCCCTGTCTATTGGTGGGTGGTCATCACCTGCTGGAAACCGGGTCCAGCATACCACTCACAGAAAAAAAATATCGAGGGTTTTGTGCTTCTGATCCCTGCCCTCACCGTTGATTGCCCTGAGAGAACAGGCGATTCACTGAGCGCGCTTTCCGAGAAAGAACGAACAGTGTTAAACAAGTCGGCTTAACTCCGTTCTGAATTGCAAACTGTGTGTACATGATTGCAGGATCTCGGCATCAAGTCACTGAAGGAAGCAGCTCAGCGGCTATACAGCGATGAGACGAAAATGGAGGTAAGGAAACTTTAATAGAGAAGGTAACCTACCTACACGGTTGACCTGGCAGGGCAAGTGGTCCCGGCCCACTCTGGTTCCGGCCCACTCTGGTAGCCCACTCTGGTACACATGGAACTGTCATGATTGAACAACTGAACACGAGTTCAAATCCGCTTGATCAAGAGAATGTAATAGTGAAGCAAAAGAGACAATCTAGGGGGAAAACTTCCGAAAAAGCTCGCACTTACGTGCCGGTTTTCAATCTGTAGGCCCTAATAGCGAAATGACAGAATCCAAATTGCAATATGAGAATGAAAGCCAGACAGTCTTTAGCTGTCCACAAAGCAGAAAATGCACTGATATCACAGCAAAGGAGAACCAAAGCAGCAAGCTCAAATGTCAATGAAAGCCTTCTCTCGCCGCCACCAACAACGTACTCGAAGCTCTTTCCCCTGTCGCCGTTCAGCACCAAGACTACGATCATACGGCTACTACGCTAGCCTGGTAAAATGACAAAGCAACCCGTTGACGTCATCAGCAGCAACCAAAAAAGTGCATGCAAATGTCGACCATGCAGACCTCCGCCCGGGCCAGGCACGTGCTCTCCCATCTCTCCCATCACTCGCCCTCGTCTTCACCCACAGCTTTCTCCTGCACTTCCGAAGACCACTACCACCTCCACTGGCTTCCCGTACCCCCAGCCCGGCTATGGAAGCCTGGGCTATGGCGCTGCTCGCATACTGCGCCCACCACCTGCGCCAGTGCACGGCGCTGCACGCGCTTCAGGCCCTCGACCAGCGGCGGCTAACCAGCGCCCAAAATGGCAGGCTGCCGCCGTAATTCAACAAGTGCCCGAATGCCTCACCGCGAGGCAGACACTTTCCTTTATGGAAAGTGCTGGCAGCTTCTGTCTGCCTGGGCCTACTCGTGGGAGTTCCGAGCAGCTTCCTGCACTCAGGCCCAGGCCCAGTCCAGATACTGGCCGGGGCCCGAAGCAGTTAAAACTTGCCCAAGCATGCCAAGATGATCCCACGTGTTCGCTGCATTCTGATTGGCTCGTGGCCTGTGTGTGACAACGGAACTGCATTTTCGTTGGTGCACGGCCGCTGTGCAACATGTTGCCCTCTGCGCTCTTGCTGTACACGCCCAGTGCCCTAACCAATTGTGCGACACGTCGCCCTCCGGGCCCCATTCGGTTAGAAGGCTCAACTGTCCGACGTGGCTGGTGCTGTTTGCTGCGATCTGAGTGCTCGACATGCCTCCTTCCTTCCACGTTGCTGTCTGGAGGTCACACATGCAGTGCCCTGTAACCAACTGGCACCAAGTATCTGTCTGGCGCCCAGCGATGCAATATTCAGGCCACACGAGGGTACTGGGGCCCGCCTTCCCTTAGGGTGGGCACAAGGCTTTGCGGTGGCCCAGATATGAGCCTGCCGAGGACTCAGATCCTTGCAACGTTTTTTTTTTTTTTTTTTTTTTTTTTAATAATTAAAGAAAAGTAGCATTTCATTGCAGTAATAACAGACCAGGAGGCTGGGAATCCCTCCACAAACAACCCGGAGGAAAAACTGGGTCCAAAACCCAGCTTTGGCTTGTGCTGGAAACCGGGCCCAGCGGCCCATTTCAAAAGCCTCTTCCCAAACAAGCACAAACTGGAAAAACAAAGCAACAGAACCGCGGAAGAGGAGTATTGGACCATTTCTCGATTTATGCTTATCATATATTTTTTTTCCTTATTGCGCAGCGGTCATGAGAATCTTTTCTGTATCGTCCCAATTTTAACGGATGTTCTGAAGGACTGGGCTGGGTTTTTAGAGAGCAACCTAAACTTTTGGAACTTCATGTCTTGCAATGCTACACTATAAATGGGTCATCATGTCAAAATCCTGAAAAAAAAAAAAAAAAAAAAAAAAAAAGTCATGCACAGAATCTGGAAGTCTGGACTTGGGCACATAGCCAACTGAACAAAATATTTTTCTATGGAAGGCTACTTGTAGTGCACTGAAAGAAACATGTTGAAGTCTGGTACGTAGCCAAATTGGAGAAGAATATGTACTATGGAATGGCTACTGGTAGTGGAAGGCTACTGGTAGTGCACTGCAAGAAATATCTCCTTGAAGTTTGGTACCTTCTGAAAAAAATGGTTCTTGAATAAAAGCTGCCATTGCTGTTGTGTATGAGGTTGATCTTTCGAATTAGACCTTCTGGATGAAAAGAACGAAAACTCAAACGATGATGGTACGGTCGGTGTTGGACCTGTTCTGTATCAGGTTGCACTACGCTCTCTTGTTTCGTCTTTATTTAGGCGGCGAGGAGTCAGCGAGGGAGCGAGGGAGGGAAATATACCATGACCCCCTGATTCGTGGTTGTGTTGTTTTGCTCTTGTGCGTCAAGTTCCAACCCCAGCAGCACAGAAATAGGAGACCATGGCCCTTGTTGGCTGTCGTGTCCTTGCGTCCGGTCCCTGATTGGTTTTTGTGTCCTAGTACCCTTGTGTGTCAGGTCTGAATCCCAGCAGCACAGAAAGCGGAGACCATGGCCCTGATTGGTTGGTGTGTCGTTGTACCCTTGTGTCTCAGGTTCGAACCCCAGCAGCACAGAAAGAGGGTGGCATTCATGACCTGGTGAGTTACGAGAAGCGCTTGTTTTGAAGTTCGAAGTCGAGTTCAAGAGTATCTATCCAGTTTCGCCGCTTTCGCGTGCATCTGCGCCGTAGTGGACGTCAAGTTTGAGTGTATAGTTCCGGTCTCAAAGAGATTGTGACAGTCGACATCAAGCTCGAGCGTAGAGTGGGACAATGCCCATTCGCGGCCAGGGTCCAGATGTGAGTACATTCCGGAGTGGTCCCATTCCGCATGTCCTGCTTGCTCGTTTTTCTTGTGTCGGTAGAGATCAGCATTTGATGGGAGAGTGTTCATAAATAGGGAAGGAATTCATTATGCTTTCAATCAGGATGGGTGACGGTAGACAGTACAGGACCACATGGATTGGAGGTGAAGCGTTCCGTCCAGATGATGCACAGCCAAGCAAAATGTGGAGGAGTTCAACTGAATGGGATGGGTCAGAGGTGTGGCATTTGTTCTCTCTCTCTCTCTCTCTCTCTCTCTCTCTCTCTCTCTCTCTCTCTCTCTCTCTCTCTCTCTCTCTCTCTCTC